CTAACCTTAACCTTTCGTCGATGTAAGTAGTTGGTTTAGTAGGTACACTATATCATAGTAGCATAGGATACTGTTGTAACACAACTCATTATCCACTTCACAAATCTTCCTGGCAGCTGTAAGTGTGTCAGCACTTGTTCTAGATAGCCCCATTCCACTGAATCATAGGCCTTCTTCATATCTATCTTCAACATGCATCTGGGGGAAATACCTTTCCTGCAATAGCCTTTTACTAGCTCATGACTCATTATAATATTGTCACTTATAAGTCTGCCTGGCACAAATGCAGACTGGCTCTTATCCACCATTCCATCCATCACTCCTTGGAGTCTATTAGTTAGAATCTTTGATATAATCTTGTACACAACTGTGCAGCATGATATTGGCCTGTATTCAATTATTTTAGAAGGATTTTTCACCTTAGGGATGAGGGCCACTGTTGTGCAATTAATAGGCGGATACATATAGGTACTATCAAAGAACTCCATAACTGCATCTGTAATTGTATCACCCACTACAGGCCCATGCTTTTTAAAAAAATAGAGCATTGAATCCATCATATCCTGGGGCTTTGTTGTCATTAATGCCTTTTAGTGCCTGAACAATCTCTTCCTTTGTGATCTCTGCATTGAGTAGTAATTGCTGGTGTCTATTGAGCAAGGGACCATCTCTCATAATAGCAGGGTTGATAGCTGGTAATTCACTTGCTAATGAACCCAATAGTTGTTGGTAGAACCCTGTCACCTCCTCTTCAATGTCCTTCTTTGCTTGTACTATGCTTCCATTTCCTCTTATTAGCCTACTTATCTTATTTTGACTGCACCTGCTTTTCATAGTTGCAAAGAAAAATGATGTGTTGGCATCACCTAACTGTAGCCAATTAACTCTTGATTTCTGTTTCATAATGCTTTCTTCCACTCTAAGCCATTTCTGCAGTTGTTCCTTCATTACCTTTTCAGCAGCTACTGTTGTTTCATTCTGTCCAGGGTCTCTCATTTGTTCTTGCATATCTTGTAGTTTTTGCTTGCATACCTTGATCCTGTCCCCTACAACATTGTACTCATCTTTGTTTAAGTTCTTCATAGCCTGCTTTACCCTCTTTAATTTCTGCCATACATATTTCAGATTATGTTGCTCCTGTGGCCTCTCCCATGCTTCCTTTACTATCTTTAAGAAATCATCATGCTCAGCTAGGTGGTTGAGAAATTTAAAAGGTTTGGGGCTGAAATCTTTTTCCTCCTCCAAGGTGATGCTCAAAGGTGAGTGATCAGAACAGTGGGGATCCATAACCAATACCTCCATTTGAGGCATTACCATCATCCAATCAGTATTAATCAGGGCTCTGTCAATTTTGCTATAGGTATGTCCATTTGTCCATGTAAATGTCCTTCCAGTAGTCTTTAGTTCTGTGATTCCAGTATTTTCTATAAATTCATTAAAGTCTCTCACTTCCTGTTCCTGAACCTCATTGCCAACAGGCCTATCTTCTATTGGTCTGATAGCATTATGTCCCCCATGATCAGCCATGGTCCTTGTTGTATTGTGTGCAGTCTAGTCAATTCACTCCACATACTTCTTCTATCTTCAATACTATGCAGCCTATATACAGCTGTGAATGTAAACCTCATATCCAATCTTCTGATATAGACTACTGTGTGAATAGTCTGAGCAGTACTACTCACCTCCTTGCATTCTATTTCAGTTGTGTCCCAGATCAACCATATTCTTCCTTTGTTACTATGTAAATAATTGTCAAGGTATGCCCATCCAGGAGTAATTTTCTTTATAACCTGATCAGCCTTCTGTTTTTTTATTTTATGCTCTTGTAATTCTATCATGCTTACTTTTCTACTACAAATGAACCTCTTAACCTCTTTTTGTCTAGGGGCTTTATTTAGTCCCTTATGTTCCAAGTTACTAATCTCATACAGGTATAAAGAAGGATTGTAAAGCTTCTTGCCCTGTGTCACCCGGTTGTCCTCCTGTTCCTCCCTCTATCAGTCTTGGGATGGCTAGCTGTAAGTTGGACTTTGCAAGAATATTAAATCCATTGAGGACATTTACTATATCAGTTGATTGTCTTTCTCTACTTCTAGCTGCTGATCTCCCTATAACAGTCTGCCACTGCTCCTCATTCCCCTCTTCACTTCCTGTACTTCCTGTACTAGTACTTGCAATTGCTGTATTAGTACTAGTATTCTTCTCAGTTATGGTTTCCTTTATCTGCACTAGTTCCTTTGCTGATTCCTGGATTTTGGGTGTCATTTTTGGTTGCCATTCCTGTTTCTGCTTTACATACTTATTCTTCCCTTTTGGAACATTAGGATCAACCACTCTGCATTGATGAACAACCTGCATACATTTAGCACAATACTCTGGTATCTAGTCATAAGCAATTTCCTGCATAAATTCCCTACCATTAGGATCAGCCACTTTAATACATGTAGGAAGTTCTTTTGTCACATCCATTTCAACAAGAACCCTTACATATGAGATCCTATCTATTTGTGTAGTACATGCATCTGCATAGAGGGGAACTCCTAGTCCACTACTGATTCTACTTAGTGACTTTTGAGCCCAGCAATTCAAAGGCAGGTTAGGATATTTCACCCATATTGGTATTGTTTGGAGTACCTCTTTAGTGAATTCAAAATCAGCCGACCATACTTTGACAATTATAGGCTTGTTATTCAACATGTGTGGCCCTGAGTATAAAATTGCATCCCTATCTTCAATTGAATTAAACTGAACCACAAAATAGCCATCGTTATGAAAGTACACCTTAGGTTTAGCAACAAAATTCCACACTGATGCAATGTACCTCTCCATGGCTCCTATTGTTGGACTGCCTCCAACCACAAACAATATTAATGCTAGTTTCCACTTCTGAGTTTCTTCCTCTATCTCATCCTTACATAGTTCCACAGTTATCTCGCCATTTTTAACAGTAGGTGCGATGAAGTTCAGATCCATACCTTTAGCCGCATAATTCGAGCCCGCAAATAGATTCGCCCACTATTTCTGACCTTCCCCAGTCTCATCATCAGGTAGCCTCTTTTGAGGATGAGTTACCTTCCCTGTATCCCCTGCTTCCCCCAATTCAGCCATAAAGTTTTGCCCATTAGTGGCCAATTTGTTAGTATTTGCACTTGCATGTATCATCGGAGTGTTATTTGTCACTTTTCTACTGTTTTCGATCTTCTCTAATGGAGTTTTGACAGCTTCCGTCCCGGATGACAATGGTGGCCACTGCTCCATTAAGCTTTTTCCTAGATCTCTGCTCAGTACTTCAGTTGGTTGTGGATTACTCGTACCTGCGCAATCACTCATCGGAATTACAGTCGCATTTTTCCTTGGACGTCCCCTCCCCATGGCTGCCGGCGTACTTTAGCACATGCACTCTATAGTGCGCCGAGAGAGCGGTTATAGAGAGAGAAAGTTTTTTTCTGTGATGATATTGTATTTGATTTTCTTTTAATAATAGTAATATAGTATAATATCTTGAAATTCTTTATTATATTAATATGTGGTACACTATTTTTTTATTTTTCTCTTTATGCATGTGTGTTATGTAATAGTAGTATAGTCATATAGTTGCCGGGAATTAACAAGTAAGATTGTATACCATGTTGCTATAGTTATATACCATATTGGTATCACATGGTAGTTTGAACATTTTTTTTTGGTTGTTTTAGCTGCATTCTTAACTGAATTCTATTCTAAAATTATTTATATGAACATGATTTGCAGTACTGGAATTTTTTGTGCCGATAGACATAGATTATGTGTATTATGTAATAGCTTTTATTGCTATAGGCAATTGTTGGAATGACCCCATACACCTATATACCCTGTTAATATACGGAATGAGCAAGTTGCTTTGCGAATATTTAGCTTGCAATGCGAGCATATAATTTTCTCATACTTATATTGCATCTTTTAATGTTTTGGTACAATAGTATAGTCGCAGATAATTGTTGCAATATTCTAAAGCAATCATATAGTCTGTTGGTATACATGTATACCATATTAGTATCATATGGTACTACAAGTTTTTTTTGCTACTTATACTTTTATTGTATTTTTCAATATTTTATTATCATTTATATTCTAACTAGTATATATAGAGATTTCGTGGTCGTAGATTATGCTTTCTTGCTCCATAATTGGTTGTGTTACTGCTAATGGTAGAGTGTGCACTGATATTTGTAGGGAAGGAGATCAAAGTTTGCATGGCAATCACGTGTTGATTCTTAGAATCTGATTATGTAATTTATGGTGCTTAGTAGCAGTCAGTGTGATATTCAGTGAATTAGATGAAATGACAACTCATATTATTTCAGTTTAATAATTGAGTTAAGAAAAAAAAAAAAGACAAAAGGTATATTATACTATATATATTTAAAAAAAGGTGAATTAATATTTTCTATATCAGTTATTTTTTTATTGTATAAAAATAAGAATNTAATATAATATATGTATAATATATAATATGTAATATATATAATAGGAGAGTCAAAGAAATCTATATCTATCTATCTATCTATCTATCTATCTATCTATCTATCTATATATATATATATATATATATATATAAAATAGGAGAGGCAAAGAAATGTTATAATGACAAGTGTCATAATTTCTATTAACAATATAATTATACTAAATATTGGATAATATAATAAATAAAAATACATAATGAAAATATTATTTGATGACTATATAAGTCCCTTTAATTTAATGGAGATTTTATTTATTAAAATTTAGACAATATCTATTCTATTAATATAGAATAGGATAATCAAATAATTGTGATAATTCCAAATGTAACATCGAAAAATTAACAAAGTGACAAATATTTTTTTAATATTGACCGCGCGGGTACGACTACTAGTTTGCCCTTAAAAAATGATTAGAAGAAATTAATAAATTTAAAAGGTAAAATGGAGTAATAAATTTATTGTTAATCCTGCTCAATCCTTCAAATAGGTAGAAATCAACGGTTGCTACATCCATAAAACAGAATATCAGTCCAGATAGTTGTAGTGTTTCACACGACAATGGCGGCCAATGCCATAGCTCGATTCCATTTCCTCCAACCATATCCAGTTTTCCCCAAACCTTCAGTACTTCTCTCAAAATTCCCTCAATCACCGCCTTTCTCCATTAATGTCCACAACATCAATAATCCTTGCCGCATTCATTTCCGCAAGTTCTCATCGGTCACATCACCACTGTGCTCCACCTCCGGCTCAATTCCAGAGGTCATCTTCTATTTCCTAAATTTTTTTTACACTAAAATCATTTACTCAGGGGTAATTATAAAGCATTAATTGGTATAACTGGTAAAAATGGAAATTTAGTCTATTATTGCAGGTTAAAATTCACTAATATACTGTAAATAAATAGTGAAGTTCGCCTAATTTTTGGTGTGAACTCGAATATCAAAATTACACTCTCTTCAATTAAGAAATGGCATGATTCATAGTAAGATAGTAATTCAAGTAATTTTTGTGTGAGTTCGAATATCCATTTTTATTAATATTTTTAAATTTTAAATAACGTGGTCCGTGCGAGAGTCGAGTAATATAATTTTGTTGTTTGAGAGTCAATTCATCTAACATGGTTCCATGCGAGAGTCAAGTATTGTGTACTTGTTTGTTACATAAATATGCTGGAAACCACAATTTTATATAACTGAAAATTCTTTAAAAGATCCTTGAGGATCATAGTTAAAAGGACTATTTGTTAATTGAAACAAAGAACATTGTGACTCTTTAAACATTAATGTGGGCAAACAAATTGGGACAGAGGGAGTATTTACTAACATCTACTTATCACCAGCAGGCAGCAACAGTTGTTTGTTTCCCCCCAAAAGATCTTGTTAACAAATAACTTAATTGCAATGCAGAGTGCTGAAAGTTCTGAATCGAGTACATCAATTGTTGGCGACCTGTTGGACTATCTGAATGAGTCATGGACTCAGTTTCATGCTACAGGTATATATTCCTGAACGCACAACTTGTTGTGGTATTGCGTTTTTATTAAGTTGCCATTCTTTAGTCTCTGACTGCCGTTTTTAATTTGTGAATATCAAGATGGATATTCACACTCTAATGCATCTTACATTTGCTAGCATTTTTTGTTTGGACCAAAGAGCAAAGCACGCGATTGAGAACAATGTATATTGCTTTGTAATGTAATTAAGGAAAAAGAACAATGAATGTTGCTTACTGGGGGTAAGTGGTAAGGAAAACACTATATTGGTTTGGACTTGAGGTTTGACCGTGCTTTTCTTGTTGTGCGTTTTTATCTCCTAAGTTTCCTCTATAAAATCCAAATTCATGCATAACCACACAACAGTTGAGCTCGGATGAAGTGCGAGGAAGTTTGAGAAGATTGCCTTTAACACTTTTGGACTAATTTTACATTATGTGACTTGGTCAATCACAAAACTTGGTAATTTTATAGAAAGTTATTAACATAGGTCAAAGTTAGTGGCAGTTGTCTCTAATGATAGATAACACTGGTATTTATCAACTTTGGTTATGCAAATTCCGACACCTGTTCAAGCTCAACCACCTCCAGATTGGATGCTTCATGGTGAGGCAACGCACAATAATGTTAAATCAAAGCACAGTATACTTCTTTTCATCAAAATATATCCTATAACAAAGTTGGAAGTTCAGCCAGTAGAATCGTTCTTGAGCATGAGAAAGGGTTCTCTGACACTCCGCTGATCGCTATGATCCCAATTTTGATGACTTTAATAGAGAGAATCACTCTATGCAAGAATTCCACGTAGAATTAAGGAAAAAGATTCTGCCAAATCAATACATGGATAACCAATTGTTGGGATAAAGTTTTGATGAATAAAGGCAAAAGAGGGGTCCTTCGTCTAAGATGGGGTAAGGGGGACTCCATGCATACAACTTGGTCTGGGTGTGTCAGGAAAATGAAAGGTAAAATGACGTGAAGAAAGACAAGATTATCAACGAAAATTCTTTAATTGAGAGTTAGAAGAATTTTGTTAAATGATCTCAGGACAGTAAGGTCATTTAACAGAAAGTATAGATGTTTAGTTAGTTTCTATAGGTTCCATGACTGCTTTAGACATAGTTTTATATTGTACTTTGCCGTAGTAATCAAAGTCCTTTCATTTCTGTTCTGTCTTTTTCCTAATCAAACTAGCCTGCTTACCATGAAAAAATAGATGCACTATAGGTGAATAACTGCTATTGCACTGTGCCGATGTTGTTTCATAAGGTGCATCATGTAGAAAGGAGGGCAAATAATAGCCTTTATAGCAAAGATAATTTCTCCAATAGCGGTAAAAATGTAGGACTGGGTATCATGATAAATACATGCATATATACAAAGCATTTAATAGTTGAGTTTTCCGCTTTTTAAGCAGTGTTGCTAGTCCCATAGGAAGCTTCTTTTTTCCTCACCTTTCACGTTCATGAGAATAAGGACAAAGGGAGCAGTCTCCTAGATTTTTATATGGTCTTCCCTTTACTAACTTAACGACAAAAACACCTCACAGCAAACGGCACAACTAAATAAACCCAGTGAGAGAAGTAAATTAGTACGATGGCATGGATCAGGTGACATGATCAAGCAGCTGCATTAATATCTGACAAGGTGTTTTTGTAGCATCACAAGTCTCTTGAGTTCTTGGTCTCAAATTGTCTTATTGGAAAATGTTGCATGTACTAATGACTTAATTAATTTTCCTAATTCTTTTCTCTAACTAAATTAAGCAATTGCGCGTAGAATTTATTTTTTTGATAAGGAGCAATTGTCCATACGTTTTACTATCCTATTTTAAAACATTAGAGCTTTTGTTTGATTGGTTTAGGTAAAATAATCCTAACATAAAATCTTGCATAGAATAAGATTTGGAGGATTATAGAAAACAATCCCCACACAATTAATGCAACGTTTAGTTAGTAGTATAAGAAAGTATATTCTTCGCATAATTAATACAACGTCTGGTTGACCATATTAAAAAATACTTGCATTTGCTTACTCCAAAAAGAAAAAAAATTTACTCAAAAAGTTATGCAGGAATCTGTGTACTATTTTGTGTGAGATAGAATATGGAACAAAATTATATGTATTAGCAATATAAAGATGACTGTTTAAAGACCAAAATGCCCTTAAAGTAGGTAATCCCTACATAATATTATCCATATTATTATTTTTTTTTATTTGCACCGGGTGTCCGAGTCTCTAAGAGCCCCGACTAATTCCGGGGGTGCACAGGCCCTCGGCAAGGAGTTTCCCGCAAGTGCACCACGGTTAATTCAGGTTTTACCCAGTTCGATGGCCCTCATGAATTGTTTGCACCCAGTGGGATTCGAACTTGAGACCTTGAAAGGGAGCAAACCCCAAGGCTCAAGTCAATTGCCACCAGGCCAACCCCTGAGGGTTATTATCCATATTATTATTAGTCACTGCATAACAGTCCCTAAATTATTATTCACTGTATAACGATACCTTCATTATTATTCACCGCATAAACAATCACTACATTGTAATTCCCTCAATGAGCATGTGAACGGAACAACCCACAGTGTACCAATAAATTTGCACTGTCTTAAACTTTTATTCTCCAAACATTTGGAGTAGCTGTTCTCGCTCTTCCTAATTTGATCTAAACTTATGTCTGCGTCTTTTATGGACCATCCTCCTTTCAGATCTATTGCATTTTTTACTTTTCCACATTATCTTATTTCTGCTTTCTGTGTTGGTGCATTGTTTATGATCTATCTGTATCACCTTGCTTTCACGGAACTTAGTTATAAGTAATATCTGCTAGTTGATTCCTATATAACATTGGTTTACAAGATTATCTATAAAATTTGTGACATTGTAAATTATTGGCTGTTTAATTATGGTTAGTACTTTTCGTTTGTTATCTGGTTATTAGTTGCTTCACAATATTTATGCTATTCAATATTATTTGATTTATCAAGCTGTTGAAGTGCATAAAGTTTACGTCTCCACTACGCGTCGTGGACATGTATAGGACAATATGCTGTGCACGTATGCACATGTCTCATTACTTTTGTGACCTCTGACATAGCAAAGGGACATGGTCAGAAAAGTGTAAAAAATTAAACCATGCATCCTTAATGCTCCTCTGCCTTTTTTAACGACCTGGGTTCACAATTCACATCACAGTTTTTGAAGTTTGTGAATTTTCAAAAGGTTTTGAATTTTGTATTTGGACTTGTTTAGTTGTTTTGATCAGATACGCGATAAAATAGGATAGACAGCAGAGCTAAGATGATTAAGGCAGGAGAGTAAGAAATGTAGGAGACAGACATGGTTTATTAATAGTGATTGATGACTTGAGTGGTGTATCTACTAAACAAGTTCGATAGTTGAGAAATGTAATATGTTATGTTTTCTTTTAGCGTCTTTATCTGGTTCAGCTGGGTTTTTTGTAGCCACCATGATGTCATTTTAATGACAATATCATAAATAGAGCATATGGTTTGTTGCATAAGTTGATTGGCCATTTAAGATAAACAAAGCTATTTTTCTCGTAGTGTTCACCATTTCTTTTGCATGATTCTTTCTAATGAAAATGTGTGAGCTTACCTCATTTCACGAGATGCTTCTCAAATTATTAGTTTTTGGCAACTGGGTTGATTATTCTTCAGGCAACAATATATGTTAATCTGAGCTGCATGAAATTTATCCTTTTACGTGTGTGAAACTTGGGCAGTCAATCAATTGAGATTTTTTGGGAATTGGAAGCAATGTTTGAACTTTGGTTTGGTGTGAAAGCTGCATTGTCTGTGTTCGGGCATGTATGGGGAGTGTACAGATCTCTTAAACAGATTTCTTGTATTTATGGTTTGTTGCAGTCAATTCAGACTTCTGCTTTCACCTGCACACTATTTTAACATGTGTTCTTCTTTTTAATAATAGCTGAAGCAAAAAGGCAACTAATTGCCGCTGGATTTCATCTGCTGAAAGAAAATGAGAAATGGGATCTGCAGCCGGGTGGGCGCTATTTCTTTACACGCAACATGTCCTCTTTGGTTGCATTTGCCATTGGAAAGAAGTGAGCAAACACTACATACCTCCCAAAGGTTACATTACAATTGCTAATTAGTCATGCAATGCTCCTTACATATATGAGCCTGTAGAAACCAAATTAAAAAATGGAATGTTCTGCAATTAGACACCAGTTATAGATCAAGGGGCAGTCTCTCTAAACAATATTACTCTCATCCAACCATTTCATTTTCCACTCCTTTAGGAATACTTTCTTATGTTGTTTAATCAGAGATATGAATTAGCTTTGCAGGTATTCTATTGGTAATGGCTTTCACGTGATTGCTGCTCACACAGATAGCCCATGTTTAAAACTAAAGCCAAAGTCCGCATCGACCAAATCTGGCTATCTTATGGTCAATGTGCAATTATATGGTGGTGGGTTATGGCACACTTGGTTTGATCGGGATTTGAGTGTAGCTGGGAGGGTTATTCTAAGAGCTGATGATGGTTCCTTTCTGCACAGGCTTGTGAAAATAACGAGGCCTCTCTTGCGAGTGCCTACGTTGGCTATTCATCTTAATCGGTCAGTTGCCTTTCGCTCAAGTTTCCTTTTTTTCCCCTCATATTTTTTCCTGCTCTCTGTTTGTGGTGTGAGGGGTTTTACATTCTTGAGTTGGTAAACATAATCCTTATTTCTTGATATCATCTACCATCTAAGTTATTGCTTTGAGACCACAAATCAATTGCAGAGAGCAAACACAATAAGAAATTGTAGCTGATAACTCCTGCATGATCAAGTTTGAGAGTCATTCTCTTATTTTTAACTTCATCCTTCTTACCCTATGACACGTGGTAGAGGAAATTGAATTTGGGAAAAACAATAATCAACATTATGCTTAAATTGGTCCATTAGTGTGTCAATATGTGTTTAAAACATGGATGGGGATATTCATGCAAATTTGAATAGCTTTCTCCCAGAAATGACCTGTGTTAGTACTTGATCTAAATTTTACACTAAATAAGGTTAATTGGTCCAAGACAAATAGCAATTATTCTAAGCACTTAAATCTGAAATCTTGTGGATATACTGAATAGTTTAAGTGAAAGTTAAACCCTACTTAAATTGTGGGATCCCATAGCATGTGTTGTTGCTTCTCTTTTACTGATAGAACTTCTTACAAAGACTTTCGAGGTCAATCTTTGAATATCTACCGTGAGCTTCAGAATTAAGGAGTGTTAATAGTTGCTCGCGAGACCTAAGTATGTCTCTGTGCCCTTGAAAGCTCAAGTATTTATCTCAACATGCAGACATATTTTCCTCCTTCCCATGCTGACCAGCTCCATAAATCACCTTACTAAGAAGAGACACGGTCTAACTAACATCTCGTCCAGCAAAAATTAATTTGTTCTTAGCCTATTTTTTGTTATTTTTATTATTATTATTATTATTATTATTATTATTATTATTGGGGACAGTTTCAAGAAAAGTTATTATTATTATTGGGGATAAGGCTGTTCTTTGGTTTATTATGCAATCCTTTTGTGCAAAGCAGCCGGTGAAAATCTGTGCTCTTAAAAAGCACACCAGCTACTGTAAGTGGTACAAGAGTTTCATTCATGCTTATTGTACCGTACGTTCAAATAGTCCTACACCTGTGGCACAATGAGAACAATAACTTGCAATTTCTTCTCCGAATAGAAGGCATCTGCCTTTTCCTTTTCTGTTTTTATGTTTTCAAAAGTTTGGAAGTCTGAAACTTGACTAAAATTCTCCAAAATGTCTAGTTTTTGGTCCCAGTTATTGCAATGTTTAAGCTGGCTTCCGAATTTTGTCTTTCTCACACTAGTAAGCTCATAATAGAAAGAAAAAAGATTTTTATCCTTTTCCCAAACTCATTTCAGCCTTCTTGTTCATCAGATGTTATTAGTTGAAAAGGAATCTTGTTTCAGTAGCATCACATTTGTACTGTGCATAAGTTGATTTTTTCCTGAAGTACTGGAATATTGTTAAACATAGCTTCCTTTTTAAGGTTAGCCTCTCTTCTTTCGATTGACAAACATCAATAACTAAATACAAAGATTAAAGGGTAACCTTGATGGAGGAGCTCTTTTGATTTATGTTTGTCAAACTGGTCAATTATCAGTGACAGTTGTCAATGATTTTATTTTTATTTTTTGAAATGAGACAGTTGTCCATGATCTTTAATTTCTTTCACCACAAGATAAATGGAAATCAAGCATTTTTCTGTAGTTTCTGTTTGCTTGAAGGCTTTGCTGATATCTCCTTTGCCCTGTTCAATTTTCCTGGCATGTAGAACTGTGAATCAGGATGGTTTTAAGCCAAACCTTGAGACTCAACTTATTCCGCTACTGGCAACAAAGACAGAGAATGCAACTGCTGATTCCACAGAGAAAAGTAATGTGTCTTCTTCAAAAGATGTTCATCATCAACTCCTTCTGCAGGTTATTGTTTATATTATATTCACTAAATCTGACCTATAATCCTGGAAATTTTCTAGGTTGTGGTGGTCAGTCAAAGAAAGATTTTGACTGACAACCAAAAAGGGAAACTCCGTTCCTGAATTTTTTCCTGGACTTATCTGATCTTTTTATTAACTATAGTATGTAGACTGACAGATGGGTTCCTCATTATTTCATTCCCTGGTCAAAGACTGCGAATTCTTTAACCCTCTTTTTCTATGTTGCTTCTAATCAAGAAGTGTTTTGGAAAACTGTAGTATATTGGACATCATTTAAGAGACACTGTGTTGAGAATATTAAAATAATGTATCGAGCAAATGATCAAGATAGGTAGCTGAATGTCAGAGAATGAAGGTTCCTTGTTTATATTAGTTTGTTTGCTTTGGTGGTAGCAGCACTGAAAGCCATGAAATTTGTTACACCTCATTTATATAATGAGTGTACTGCTTTTCTGTTCTTCCATCTTATTTTCCAACATCGAGAATTTGTTACATTATTTAACGCAAGAGAATGATGGATAAGGAGTACATTATGGATTACTGGATATGAACATTGATATTTTCCTCTGTGATCGCAGATCTTGTCAGATGAGCTCAGCTGTAAAATTGATGACATAGTTAGTGTTGAGTTAAATCTTTGTGATACCCAACCTAGCTGCCTTGGAGGTGCAAATAATGAGTTCATATTTTCTGGAAGATTGGATAATCTTGCGTCGAGCTTTTGTGGTTTGAGAGCTCTGGTTGATTCATGTACTTTGCCCGAAGATTTATCAAATGAGCATGCAATTCGGATGATTGCTCTTTTTGATAATGAAGAGGTACGTAGTATTGCTCAGTCTGAAAGTTCTAGCAGTGATTTCCCTAAATTATTTTCTTCTGCATTCTACAGATGCTACTCTTAGATGAGAAGTATATTCTGGGGAACATCAGATCAGTCCTTGTTTAATTTCTAAATTTTAGAATATTCCAAGCTAAGAAATATTTTGCTTATCCCAGACCAAATTTTTGTCTTGAAAATACTTGTTTGATGTAAATAGATTTTTTCATGAGTGTCAAATGTTCCAAGTGAGCACAAAAGCAATAAAGTCGGTTAGCAGTACTCTGAATCCTCTTTACAAGCTGTTTTCAACTATTCTGTATCCTCTTTCTAAGCTGTTTTTACATTTTTCCACCAAAAACAAGAAAATGAAAACCAGCAAGTTTGTCAGTCTCTTACTTGTTTCGAAATTTCCTTATTTAATCAGTCGATTTCAGCTTGAAATTGAACTTTAAATGAACTGATATTCCTTGTTTCAGTTTCCCATTTACTCGAACATGAGGTCTAACTCCACCAAGACTTTAGGTTGGTTCAGATTCATACCAAGGAGCTGGTGCGCCAACTATGTTTGAGGCAATGCGACGAATAACTGACTGCCTAAGTCATCAGTCTGCTGGAGAATCTGATTTTGCCCGCGCGATTCGCCACTCTTTTCTTGGTACTCTTTTTTTGATATGTCTGTGGCCTTTAGATAAGTGTTTGTATATGACTGGCTACTCCTGTTTGTACTCTCAAACCTTTCGTATGTGGATACTCCTCCTGTTCAGCAGTAATGCAATTGATCCCAGCTCAAATAAGACAATATAATGTGAAAGGTTGTTACTTTGCGTGATTCTTTCAAAAGGCGGTAAATTCAATATTGGGCCCTGTTAAGTTTACGCCTCTTCAGTTTCATTTGCTGAACATATCAATCTGAATACATGCATGTGTATTAGTAACTGCCTTCGAAGAAAAACTAATACATTCATTATTGAGTTTATCTTAACTTGTATACACTATATGCTCTATGGACTGACTAAGTGTCCGTACTGAGGCTTTCCCCTGACGAGTGCATTTCATTAATTATGTGATTGAGAAATCTAACAGCTTTGCCTAAGGATGGAGTTCCTCCCGGTTCATGTTACTAGAAGGCCTAAAGAGTTCCCCGAAACTTGTTCCTTCATAGAAAGGCAAGTGTGATTGCAGTGTGATACAAACCAGCCAAGGAGGACATCATTCTCCTTGTCGATAGGTTCTACCAGAATTTATGGGGTCTAACATGCAAATAACTTGTGATGTCATAACATACGGAATGAAAAATCAGTTTCCAGCATTCTTGTCAAATCACATTATTTTCTCCTCTGCATCTCATGTGAAACTTATTGTCTAGTATCCCATTCAAATAACAGTGTCTGCTGATATGGCTCATGGAGTTCACCCTAATTTTGTGGATAAGCATGAGGAGCACCATCGTCCTGAATTACAGAAGGGGCTTGTAATCAAGCATAATGCAAATCAACGCTATGCTACGAGTGGAGTTACGTCTTTTCTTTTTAAAGAAGTTGCAAGACTCCACAGCCTTCCGACACAGGTGATTTTCATCTTCCAAGTGCTTTAGCATAAATGAAGTGGAAACCATCAAAGAAATAGGAAGTAGGGAACGGAAGCCATGACTTGACCTATTCCTTGACTTCCCATCTTTCTCTTATTCAGGAGTCAATGCATAACTTTTATTAAGGATTCAAATCCTTTGTGTTAATGCTGCAAATGGTAACTAGTCCTTTAACTCCTTACAGGACTTTGTGGTGCGAAATGATATGGGATGTGGATCAACTATAGGTCCGATACTTGCTTCAGGAGTTGGAATCCGAACTGTTGATTGTGGTATTGCTCAGCTATCCATGCACAGGTACCTAGTTATGTACTATTGCATTCAATGTTGTGCTACATGGTGATCTCCTAGAATTCTCTTCCATTTTTTTTGGAAATTGGTTATACACCAGTCAGTAGTTTCCAACTTTCCACTAGTCAGAACATAATACTAACAAACTTCTGAAAGCAAAAAAAAAAATATTACTTTACTTAGTTCCAATCACAAATACTATTAACACACTTCTAAAAGCAAAAAAGAAAAATTCCTTGCTCTTAGTTCCAGTAAAATTGTTTTACCCAAGATGGGATAGAGGCAGCAGTCTATAACTAGCTTACTTTACTGTCATGCATCATCTGACATAAAATTTTGCTTGAGCCCATATTCGGCAGAATGATCTATATTATCAAGCTGCAATGCTTGTCCTACAGTGCAAATAGTGATAAGTTGTGATAAGCACTACTTTTTCGAGTTTCCTAGAAGATAGATGTTCAACATCCAGGCACCTTGGCGAACTTGCCATTAAGAATGTTTTTCTGTACTTTTTCAAAATAAAAATTTCTCTATGGTATAAGATACTGCCGGGCAGCTAGATGATAAACTTATGAAGTTTGAAGCTGTAATTAGCTCTGGTAGTTTGACATGATGAAATGGTCGCATCTAACTTGAGGGACACTACAGTATCTGAATCTGTTCATTTATATCTTCTTCCTCATTCTAGTTTGCCAGTTTTGCTTTTGTAACCTGCTTCCTTAAGTTGGTCATCTAATTCGATACATATGACTTTGCTTTTCTGCGATTGCAGCGTGAGAGAGATATGCGGAAAGGAAGATATTGATATTGCATACAAGCACTTCAAGGCATTCTACCAGACATTCTCAAGCATAGACAGGAAGTTGATTGTGGATTGATAATTGGTGAAGTAGAAACCTAGCTTTTTAGTTCACAACCCCTTATAGCATAATCCTTTTCCTTATTTTTCTGTTGGGGGTGCAGTTGGTATTAGAGCTTTTAGGCAAGCACTATTTGATTACTAAAAAAGTACATTATTTTGGTTCGAATGCAAAAATAAATAGTTTTAGTTGGCACATAGCCTTGTAATTGCTATAATGTTGGTAAAACCCAAATTGAAAATTCTGATGATTTTGATCTTCACAAACACCTGGAGGAAGTGACTTGGAACATCACTTTCATTCCAGTACCTGACGTTTGTTGGCTTCCATTTGATCACTGACAGAACTGGAACCCATATTAACTTCAAATTCAGGTTTCCGCTTGGCATTTTTAGCTGCTAATTTCCGTTTCAGCTCTGATAACAAAGCTTGATTCTCCTGGTTGAGACGTTGAGCTTTCTTCCGCAGCCTCTCATTCTCCCACATAATCTGACAGTTACGCAGGTACAGCTCTGAATTCTCTCTATCCATAGCTGCTAATTGCTCGCTTTGCCCTGAAGGACATCATGAAAAAAGTGAAGCAAAATCAGTATACCTCAATACAGAAACACAAGGCAGAGCAGATAATATAGAAAACTATCTTCCATGTACAGTAAGCATTGCATATATCGTCCATGAAGACAAATTTTGTAATGAATATAAAATAATATATCTGGGCTTTGGGTTAACAGATGTGGTTAGTTTTTTTTCTTTCTTGAAGCCATTAGTAATAATCATCAACAACAAACCCAGCGTAATCCCACAAGTGGGGTTTGGGGAGGGTAATGTGTATGCAGACCTTACCCCTACCTTGTGAAGGTAGAGAGGTTATTTCCGATAGACCATCGCCTCGAGAAACTAAGCTAGCGTTTGGACATAGATTTGATTGAAACTTGAAAAAAGAGTTTTTGAAGTTGTGTTGAAAAATAATTTTTGAAAGTTAAAGTTGTGTTTGGTCATGCATTTTATTTGAAGAAGAGTTGAAGTTTTGTGAGTGGAAGACAAATTTTAACCCAAAAACTGCCCTAAACCAGTTTTTGGGAACTTGAAAATTTTTGAAGTTTTTTTTTCCCAAAACATGATCATATTTCATGAACAAATAATGTTTTCAAAAAAAAATTGAAAAATGAAGTCAAAATCTATGGTCAAACGGGAGCTAAGTCATTAGTAATCAAGGATCTAATAAACAAGCCAACTCCCAATGATAGGACTGAATGTAATAATTGGTCCATTTTTGTTTCACGATACTTCAGTGAAGGCACCAATTCTTAGAACAAAAAAAATACAAGGACGCAAGCAGTTGGTAGACTTTGAGTTTTGAGTTAAGCAAGTAGAAACAGAAAATTGGAAAAAAAAAGGAAAATGCTGAGTTTTAGTATGAAGTTGAAGGGTCAGTACCTTAGGAGTAAGATGAATTTTGCTGGGCAGTGGTTGAGACAATAGATATGTTTGTTTATATAGTCATATGCACGTAAACTTGGTAAATACTAATTGATAAACATGACAACAATCACACGAGAATAGCACAGTTCACTATAAAGAAGTATTCATTACCATATCAGCAAAGCCCACAAACTTTTCTTTATCCTCATATAAAACACAGGTCAAAGTGCACTTTAACCATCAAGTTAGGGAAAGAGAAAGGTTTCCTATTATTTCCTCCTCCGAATAAGACGCTAGATTTTGCTTTAAAAAGTGAGAAATAGTTAGGCTAATCTTAGACTATTGCACGTGGTTTTTGCTTTGTAATTGTAATAATAAGGTTGTTAAAGAATAAAGCCAAGAAAGAGACATTCTCAGGGTGGAAAAAGTTGCCTCTTGTGGTGCAGACACAAACATGCTTGCGCAAGGCTTGAGCACGGGAGACAGCTGAGGCTAACCTGTGATTTCAATATTCATGTGAGAAACCCCAATATTATTCACACAACCATATGATGCTGTAAGTTTTGACTTTCATATGCAAAACAAACCACCACCCCTAGTATTTATGGGCGTCTATAAAGAATATTTACGCAATCTATTCAATTTAACTGGCTATAACAGGTTGTTAATCTCCTTTTTTTTGGTTTATTATGAAACAAATACTCCTCAAAAAGGGAAACAAACTAGGCAAATGTACCAATGTTTAGGATAGCTTTCCAATTGTGCGTTACTAGTAAAGTGTTTGGTTTTTCTTTTGCAAATGAGATAATAAAGTAATCAGGAACACGTCTTTTGCCCGAAGAAATGGTTGTGAGTAGAAAAATATATTTTTAACGCAATTGCACCATATAAGCCTCATCTATCCACAAATCTTCTATTACTAGATCCATCTATTTAAGAGTTTTCACCAATGTTTTAAAAGGCGGGGGCGTGACTCCTGAGGCGAGGCGTTTTACCTCTGACGAAGCGAGGCATAAGCCCTGAGACATGGGGCGTAAGTCCCACGGATCTTTAAATTTTACTATTTTCAAAAATTTTAAAATAGTATAAAATAAAAAATAATTATAAAAATACATTAAAATCACAAAATTATAACAAATAATCTATTTAAGATATTTATAAAGTATAATTCAACTATGAATAATACGAAAAGTATGACATATATCATAATATGCAAATTAGTTGCAACGTCATTACAACTCAAACATCAAAAGTAATGTATTCGATACAAAATCTTATATGTATCTCTTAAGGAGTAATGAATCTTGAAAGAATTTCGATATTATAATTTGATATTTTTTCTTAAAATACTCCTTTTATTTAATATGCTTTCTATTTGAAAGAGAATTAATATAAAAACATAATTCACAATTTCAATATGATTCTCTAGCATCATTTATTTTTAAGTTTCAACAAGTTAATAAAGTGACATAATTCACCATACAATACTATGATAACTAATTATTCGTAAATAGTTACTAGCTAATACTGAGCTATTAAATTAATAAGTATTGTATCTCATAAACGTGGAAAAAAACAATATTTAGAAAAACAAAAAAATTATGGACTATTATATAGTAAAGACATAACAAAGTTAATAAATAAATACCTTTTAAATGAAAGATTTATTTAAAATTAACTATCATACAGTCCTAGTGGATAACGTACAATATTTTAATTTTAATTATGACATAAATACTCTTTAACTTAATAATTTATGATTAAGAAAAAAGTAATTTTGAATACTCAACGATTTATTAAGAAAATTTGAGGATTCACAAGGTTAGTTACATACAATTGCATAAAGTTCTATTAGGCGAGCCCAGTACGCTGGGCGCTGGGCGTGTCCGGGGCTTTAGCCCCGATGGCCGAGGCGTAAGTCTCACGGAACTAAGCCCCAGACATAAGCCCAGGGGCGTTTTACGAGTACTCCGCCCCAAGGCGAGTCCCAATTCTGCCTTTTAAAACAGACTTTTCACTTTCTTTTTTGTTTCCAAGATGGTTTTCCTTTAACTATATTAGTTATCTATTTCACAAAAGATACCTCATTTCCCAGACATTCCATTTGGCTACAGAAAATCCACTTGTACTTGTTGACATTTGCATCCTACTAATAACTAATTGTTCATCCCTCTCACACCCCCGGTGCTAATTGACTGCATTTCGATTACGTAGAGTCCTGGCTGATGATGGGACGAAGTCGAGAAAATAGACCATATTTGTTGAGTTTCTTTGCCACTATGAATACGTTCAGAATATAAAAGTAATGCCGTTGTTGGGGGCATGAGTCACATTTTTCTTTGAACCGCTTATGACACTGAATAGAGATAGCATACTAGATGTCCTGTTACGCCCAGCCTCTAACTATTAGCCCTGAACGATTTGATGCAACCACCAAGTGTCAAGTTGCTTGACACTACGACACTTGGCCGCACTTTCTCTACAGAGAATTAGGATATATCAACCCAGGGGAATACTGGCGCAGTCGCCAGTTAGGATCATTATCATTTTGGTCAAGAGCGACGAAGGAGTTCTGACCAAACAAAATGCTTCAGTTACAAACTAGTCAGCGAAAGACAAAGTACACGAATATTCTGTCCAAACAAGAAAAGCGGTAAAAGGGAAAACACTTTCCATTTAAATACATTATCTGCAGAGTCTCTCCTGGACATTGCTTCAGAGGAATATCCCGTATTCAGAGCTCTGTATTATCACTGTCAGTCTGGCACCAAAGCTACCAATTGCTTAAAGATTGCATGTCCTGTTGACACTATTTACTCAAAATCTCTAACCGTATTGTCTTTCTTCTTGGAGCTTTGATGAGGCTGTCACATAAATCAAGCAGCACAATGTTACATATACTTACAGATGTAGAAGGCAACTTTAAGAAAGGCAAAAAAATGGAAAACGAGAATAAACCTAAAACCGATAAAACTTCTTATATTGCCAGCTCTGAACTCTTGCTGATTTCATTTGTCGTCATCATCATCGTTGTCATGATTCCATGGCAATAGAGCTGAGTGCCCATCCATGCAATGGAACTGTCAGGACATATGAGCATCCTCAGCAATGCAGGAGGCTCCATAAAACTGAGACTGGTGGATGGATTCGGAAAATATTGCAAGCTGAACAATCTACTCCAACAGGTCTCAGTTGTTCATGCCTGCACCCCGCGATTTGCAACATTTTTCCGCTCAGCACCCCCCTCAAGATGCTGAATTGTACGTCGCAGGATGCAGGCATGGCCCGTGCCCCTCACCGGGGCCGGGCTAATCCAAAACCATCAGGTTGCAGTTGATGAGGCTGGAATACCATGAACAGGAGGAGCAATCAAATGATGAAGCAAACCATAAAGTGGGAAAAAAATAAACCAGAAAGCCAAACACGACTGATGGATAATTATATTATCTCATGTGAAAGAAAGAGACCCTCTCTACAAGCTAAAATTCCTCTTCCTCGTACACATACCAATATAAGATAATATAGCTTAACAAGAGTAGCTGTCATTGGATCCACTTTTTGTATCTGCATCACTAAATCCTTCGAACATATTAACCAAGCACTTAAATATGAAGATCCCAGCATGCTCTTTACCGGAAATCTTTCCTCAAACTTACTAAACTTTGCTTCAAGCTTAACCTATTATCATCTCTTGCACTCTGTGTGAGGGGTGGTAGTGTGAACACGTTAGGTCGAAACACGACTTATGAGACAGTTTTTCACCACATGAAGTATGAGTCGGTGCAATTTCCTCTTAAATCTGTCCAAGTCCCCGGAGTTCAGCAAATAACAAGCCCAAATGATTGAAATGGAAAGAAATTTTTTTTGCCATACCTGTGAGAAGGGTTGGTGAACCTGCTCGTGAGGATGGATAAAAGTCATTCCAGGACGCTGACAAGGATACTGCGTTGAATGCAAATATATAGCTGTGCTTGAGCGTGCACTAACATGATTGTGACTAAAAGGGGGAGGCATCATGCTATCTGCCGGACCATAACCAATGCCAGGAGTCGCTGATGCTGCCCAAGGCCCAGGTAAATGTTGAGGAAGTGGACGAGGTTGGTTTTCAGCAGAAATGGGAGACCGAAGTGCTGCACCAAGCTGGGGAAATTCAGTGTTGTAGTTTATTGCAGGAGCGTACATGGGCTGAATTGTATATGGGCCACCAGTAAATCCAAACCCAGGATCAAACCTTTGCATGTATCTGCAAAATAAACGTCACCATTGGACTCACAGACTAAGTTGCAGGAAAAACGACATGAGCATCATAGTGAAAAGATCCATGAGCACAAAAAGACAACAACAACAACAACAACAAAAAAGCCAGTATGTTCCCAACAACGAGCACAAAAAGACAATTTGTAAAATTGAGACAGGACAAAAGTTGGATGTGCTATAATTGATGCACATAATTCCATACAGCTTAAAGAAGAACATGGCAAGTAGTACTAAAAGCTTTTGCAAGAAACGCCAACACACATTCTCATATAAAGAATTCAAGCAGCATCAAATATAAATAGGACGTCACCCAAAATAGTATAAACATCCTAAGAAGCAGTATGCAATAGAGAAGGAAGAAACAAGAGAAGGAGCATAGGAATAAAGGTAACTGAATAGCAGCTCAACCACCATTGCTTTAAAATCATAGCAGCTTATCTCAAATCAGGATCTCCCCCCTCTTCTTCCTCTGTATGTTCTCCTCCTCCTCCTACCAGGTTCTTCTGTCCCTCTTCGAGTTCTTTCAATTCTTCAAGAGTCTACATCATAGCTGTTAATAGGACTGTCTCCAGGGCTTACATCTTTATTCCAGTATTATGTAAAAGGAACATAGGAATAAAGGTAACTGAATAGCAGCTCCAAACCACCATAGCTTTAAAATCATAGCAGCTTATCTCAAATCAGGATCTCCCCCCTCTTCTTCCTCTGTATGTTCTCCTCCTGCTCCTCCTACCAGGTTCTTCTGGCCTCTTCTAGTTCTTTCAATTCTTCAAGAGTCTACATCATAGCTGTTAATAGGGCTGTCTCCAGGGCATACGTCTTTATTGCAGTATTATGTAGCAGCCTCATAGTCTTCTTAAACAATTTGTTTGGCCTTTTTGGTTTCTATTTGGTGCCCAGAAACAGATATAGTCCATTTTTTATGGGAGGCAGAAGAGATATTCATTTAGAGTAGAGTGTTCCAGGAGACTGCACATGTCCACGTCCTATCTTCCAATATATAACTCCAGATTCAGTATTTGTTCTTCACAGCAAGCAGATAAACAAAATTTCCACTGTCCGGAGGATCATTATGTGTATTATGACAACTTCACTACATTCAAATCCAGATACTTCGGCGATGATTTTTCATCAAATATGATTGGAACAGGCCAAGAAAGACAGTTCTTTGGACTAATCATATCCTGTGTTTGAAGCAACAGACAAAAAGGATTTAAAAGCTCTTCCCTTATGCATCCTATAACCCAAACCTCAGATTATAATCAATCCGTACCCTCCCCCCACACAAAAAAAAAAAGAAAAAAAAAAAGAGAAAAAGAACCTACACGAAAAGAAAAGGGAACATAGGTGGTACAACTTCAGAAGTCAGCATGTAATAAAAGAAAGAACCATAGATCCCCACATATACTTCGAATCACTCTTTGTGTAACACCAATCATTCTAGAACAGCCAGTCCACAAACAAGCATTTCCCCAGATTGGTCAGTAGAACATCAATAGGAATAAGCATTTGTAGAAAAAAACCCATTTGAACATTTCATATACAGAATACATGGCAAAGAAATGCACGAATACTTGCCAGAATAAAGTGATGGTACTTAAACATCTCATAGAATAAAGGAGTGCTTTTACGACAATATAAAACAATCCGCTCGATCCATGTTAAAAGAGATACCACATGACTGAACCACCAACACATACACAAAATAGAAACCGAAGAAAAGGGGAGTACTTTAAAGTATATTCACAAAATAGCAGAGGACGGAGAAAGACCTGTCATAACTCCTGTCATAATCTGGGTCCTTCCGGTCAATTTCCCGATCGCGAAAGATAGCCACCTTATTATTAGATTTAGATCTACCAACTGGCTCCTTTTCTGTCCTACTTCTAGCTGATCTACTGCTACTTGTCGAAGAATCAATCAGACCCCGCCCAGTATTCAAATCAGAACCGCCAGCTAGACTAGTTTTTTCTTCTAGCTGTGGTATGCCTATTGAACCATACTGAAATGTATCCTGTGACCTTGATTCAGTTTCAGGTTTTACATTGGAGCTCCCACTTAAACTATTAGAGTTAAAAATACGTGCTCGAGCCCTATTATATTCCTCCTTTCTTTCCTCAACACTTTTGGCAGAATTTCCCTTTGATGAATTTGAATTTGAAGAACCTGCAAACTGTGAACCTTTCTGTGGCCTCTGCTTAATGGCAACCTTAACAACGCCAGTATCTCCTTGAGGCAAATTCACCGGGATGTCAGCCAAGCGAATCAAAGGCATCCGACATTCAGAAGTCTTGCGCACAATAATTCTGGAACCCGAGCCATCCGGTAGACTATTGTCCAACAAAACCATTGATTGTAGTGAATAGTGCTGTGCCACACGGTGAGCAGCCAGTCGCAAATAGGAAGTAGGCAGCTGCTGGAATTCCATCTGCTGTCGGCCAGGGTCCCTGATGAACTTTTCAACATCCTGCTCCATCCTCAGAACTGAGAAAAGGTAATGAAAAATCACTACATGTATGATAAAGAGAACCGATCCAACTAACAGAAAACCTCCCCCTCCCCCCCCCCCCCCAAAAAAAAGAGATAAAATGAGAGGGAAAAAGAAAAATGCAAACAGTGACATTTAAGGAGACTAGTTATCTCAAAATGGAAACACGGGAAGAAGCAAGATAGTTGGAAAAATAAGGCACATAGAATAGAAAAAAGCACCCAAAGGTAAGTAAAGAATTAAACAATGAATATTTTTATATGAGTTCATCATATTAGTATGTGATGACCAAGAGCCTATGCCAGCATAACAGCTAAAGACTACATAACCGAGAATATACAATAGAGAACATGGTGTTTCTTGATAGAAAAAAGTTCAAGTTTCTCCTTTTCTTTTTTCCTTTTTTTAGTAAGGTGGAAAAGGTTCAAGTTATCCTTCATTCAGCCAAAACGGATAATTATTCCTTCAAAAACTTGCCCTTTTATGCTTTTAGATTACATAAAATGGTTCTATTTTCTCTCCTTTTTTATGATAAGCAAAGACTTTCAATGATGTATATCAGCAGTAAGAGTGCTGGAGTTGCACATGGCTGATGATGTAAGAACGAGCTGCGCAGGGAATTGCAGAGATCTAGAAGAGGCGCTACAATATGTGGATGTCATCCAACACCAAAAAGTTATTCGAATTTGTACCTTTGCTTTACTACACATTCCTATTGCCCTCACACATTCCAGAATTCCTTTCCCTACAGATACCCACCAGATGCAAGGGGGGATGGTCTTGCATAATGGTTTAGCCTCTTTCACATGCTTACTGATCCAGCATTGCATCAACTTAGTGAGAATCTCCGGCATTGTCCATTAGAGCTTAATAAAGATCAAAGACATATTCCAAATTTTCTGGCTGGAAGAGCAAACCAAAAAGAGAAAATTGACGTCCTCAGATTCTTCTTCACATAAAGAGAATCTGCTGGAAATAGACAGGCCTTCTTTCAGCAAGGTGTTTGGAATTAAATAGGCCCTAACCAAGCAATCTGCAACCTTAAATAATGCCTGAGATTTCCAATTTCTTTTCTAGGATAGCGAGAAGGAGCTGTAAGGTGATAGCTTTGGTAGCAGGATTTCACTGTGGACTAACCCTTTGTGTCCTGTGCAGCCAATATAGACTGGAGTTTGCGTTAGTCAAGGAGCTGACTCTAACTGCAACAGTAGACTTATCCCCCTCACACCCCCCCCCCAAACAAAAAAATACAGCACTATAGTCATTCTTTCCACATCCCAATCATTGCAATTCCTTCTGAAGGTTACATCCCAACCTTGACTAGATATATAAACTCATTATGGCCTTATGTCTCCTGCAAAACGGAGCATCCCAGGGTGCTCTTCTAGAATTTTAGCGGGGCATGTCCTAACCAAGCATCTACCTAGAATAGGAAATTTCTACTGTCCCTGGTTTTGTATAGCATGTACTCTAAAAGGTCCCCCGAAGCCTTTGATATGCTTCCATCCTCCTAACACTACAGGGGTTAGTTACAGGATTAGTGACAGAGTGACCTTGCACCATATTTTGCTCTGACCAGTGGATTCCCTATAGCATAATCCAGCCCACAGAGAAGTCCTTGAATCAGTTATTCAGCATGACTTTCTTTGACATTCTGCTTGGTTATTCCATTACTAGAATAAAAAGGAAGGACAGAAGGACTCACACCTCGGCCCTGGCCCCTTTTTGAAGGAAAGAATCTTGTCAGTGTGCCATACATTTGAACTAACATTCCATCTGTAGAGATGCACAAATAAATCCAGTTGATCCATTTTTCTTCAAATCCCAAGTCTTTCAAAAGATGGTTAGAAAGTTCCACTTAACATGATCAGATACTTTTCCAATGTCGACCTTACACAGTTACAGTCTTATTGTCCTGGCATTATTCTACTACGATTGTCCTTGATGAAAGCTAACTGAGTGTCAGGTAAAAGCTTCCTAATTCCCTTCTTAGCCTCTTTGCAAGGATTTTGGTAGAAGCTACCAGCCAAGCTTACTTCCCTGTATTCTTTCAATTCCTTGGATCCACTCTTCTTTGTTTAAAAGAAAAAAAAGTAAAGCTCCACTCTTCATTGAAATACATGCAACATGAGACAATTAAAAAGAGAACTTCCCAAAGCTTTAACTTGGGTGGATGGAATCGATAGCTCACTCCATCATATCCCAACGTTCAAATAAAATGATATGGCGGTCACCAAGGTCAGGTGTCTTGTCTCCTATGTGTTCTTGACTTCTTTCACCACTGCAATGTCTTTGGATCCATTCTTTCTCGTCAACAATTATCTTCGCTTTGCAGTCAAAAGAGACCAATAATGACAAAGAATGTTTTCAGGTTTTAGCAATCCGACATATGCATGCAATCTGAACTTGTAGTCATCCAAAGGGGTCATCAGGGGAAGAATCTCCTTTACTCCAACATGAAACTTGGTCCCACGGAGATGAAAGTTTCACTGCTTATCAGTTACCTCCATAGCAACCAATGCCTTGATCTTCTTTTTTTCAATAAAAGTATCACCTTACCTTCTAAAAAAAGTAAGAGTGGCTTCCGAGCCTCGTTGCACACACCTCAACTATTCCACCTAGTACATACTACCTCCCACCAAGGCTTAGGCAGATGGAAAAAGTTCACCTAGTGGTTTTTTGTGAACCATGGTCTCCCATGATTTTACACATTTCATAGACCGCCACACCATTGGATGCAGCCAATACTCTAGTCTCGAATTCAAACAATTAAAGACTCAGTGAGCTTTTCCAGGTAAATACACTACTTTTCAGTTCCTCTAATTTTTTTTATGAAGTAACATCAATTCCTTTAGTTCCTAATTCTCCTCAATGCCTCAATTCCCTTTTCTTTCTACTATTATAAATAAAGATGTAACCATAAAAAATTATTGTGGTAGTACTCCAGACAAGCAAAAGTACCAAATTTGTACCCTTCATACTGACTACCAGAGAGAATCAAAGAGAATGCACTTCACAGAGGAAAGCACTACCAGACACTGATTATAAAAGAATCTAGTCAATCTACCAAATAAACCGCAGTTGTCCTTTCAGGTTCTTACCAAATGGGTGATTTAACCAACTGAAGTATAGCAGCTCTATTGTCATCTCAATAAAGTCTTTACGATAATATTGCGACATTGCATTCATTTGGGATTCATATAACAGACCCCAACTAATTTAGAATTCAGATGTAGTTAACTGATTGACACAACTAACAACAATGTGACAGCGAGTATACGACCACAGAAATAATCACAATTCGAAACATGGCACATCAGGAAAACAAAAAAAATCAACTAACAAACCCTAAATATAACGCAAATTAGCACAATAATCAGATTTTCTTAAAAAATGGGAATGCTAACCGGAAAGCCGCTCTCTAGGGTTTTGTAAAGCCTCACGAAGAAACTGATCGACGGTGTTAACCATATCCTCCGACACACCACCCGAACCAGCACGGGCCAAAGCCGAAGACGAGGAATCAAGCAGCTCAGATTGATTACTATTACTATTGACAGAAGAATCGGAATCCTTTTTCGAAGAAGAAAGTATAAGCCGCCGCATACTAGCGTCCACGTCAGCTACCTCCCATGACTCCGGCGGGACTCCGAGATCATCCGGAATAGCCACAGAGCCCTCCATAGGGTTCAATTTTTAGCTCAAAAAAAAATTCAAAAAATTCGAGAAAAAGAACTAGGGTTTGTTCATGAAACGAATCATCGAATCAAACCTAGATTCGAAAATTTGGAGAAATTTCATAGAGATTCAGAGAATCGAATCTAAATTAGAGGAGAAAAACAGGACAAAACGGTTCTAGGGTTTCGAGAGAATGTGGGAGAGGAGAGAGAGAGAGAGGGGGGGTTTGACGAATTATAAATTGTTTTCTTTTGCGTTGCTTCGAGGGCATGCTAATTCATGGCGCGTAATATGCACGCACATAAACTGAGAGTGGGAGTTTGCGAAGGCATTTGTTGTTTCGGAAATATGCTGATTTTTTGGGGACTGTGATATTTTTGCGAAAAACAAAAGGAGTGGATGGAATCGGACTGCTGGGTCGAAAAAAAGAATCGGGACTAATGTGGATGTGGCAATTACAAGTCATTAATAGCTTGTTTGGAGGTCACTTATTATATTATATGGTATCGTAACTTCAAATATAATATTTATTTTTATTATTACATAAATATCGTGTTTTATATCTATCATTTTGTAATAACAAAAAGTGTTACTTTATATAACGATCGATTTAGTATTGTCGTATCGTAATCTTATTTTTTTTCTCTCACCTTGCCTTTTCTTATTATTAAATTATCTTATTTTATCATTTACTCTATCTTTTTTATATAATAATTCTGCCAAACAATACAATTTATTGAAACATTATATTCATCAAAATAATACATTACAATATAATACGATGCATACAAACGATACGTAACAACCATCCAAACAAGCTGTAAGGAAGGTGACAACTTGGCATCTGGCACAGTATTTGGGAACTAGTTCTGACATGTAAGACTATGGTGACATATACGATTAAAATTTAGCGAGTTGAACTTTTTAGGTTCTTATCGTGAATTTTACATATTTTTAAAATTAAAGGTTCAAAATTAATTTTTATGTTATAATTGTAGTGATGTTTTACATAATATTGGGATCAGTTGAACCCAATACTACATGATATATTCTCCGTTGCTGCTATTTTAATATAGATATTCAGATTAATTATAATAAAAATTAACAATGATGACACAATGAGAATAAAGATTTTAATATGTAAGACTTGGAAATTTTGAAAAAGTAAAGCAAATAAAGAAAGAAAAAAAAAGACTAGTTATTAAAAACGCGAGAGGAGACACAAGACATACTCATCCCTCTTTGCTAGACCGAGTTATAAATAAATAAATAAATAAATAAGACGACAACATAAACATGAAATTTGTACCTCCGCTCAATTCTAGAAAAAGAATAGGAAAAAATAATATACAGACATGACTTTGCTTGTTAAGGTACTCACAGTAATCATTGTACTATAGGACTTTTTGCACAAATATATATTAAAGTTATTTTGAATAAAAATACATTATCTAGAGATGGGAATACAAATTTACATGAACTCGTACTCGGCCCTCCCTATAGATACACCCATGTACACATTTTGGCTATTTTAGGCAAAATATATAAGTTGACACTCGAACAATGGACCAAATCCCCCTTACACATTTTTTGTGGGCGATAATAATATTACACACGCAACCTTTCTAAAGTGTATCTAGTACACACTTTCTTTGACCAGGTCCAAGCATGTGTAAAATAAAACGGCAGAAGCGCGTGAAAAGTAAAAGTAGACATTCTTTGACTTAAATCAACGGTCAGTAACATACCCCAATGATCATTTTTAATTAAATAAAGGGGCCCTCAACCCATTTCTTGTAAAATTGGACCCGTTTTTCCCTCTTTTTCTTCCTCATTGGAAGCTCGACATTTGTAGAAATATTCTATTCTTGACTTCTTCTTATGCGATTTTTGTTGCCAATATAATCATCTTCTTCTACTTCTTCTTTCTTTGTTTCGACGTTGTAATTTTTAGGGTTCAAATTTAAGGTTAGGGAAAATACATAATCTGAGAAAATTTTGTTATTGTGGTGAAAAGGTTGTGGTAACACAGTTATGGAGTGTTGCTAATCATGGTCGTTGATTTTACGGATGCAAATTTATGAGGTAAATATCAATTGTACTATTCTAATCGATTTTATATTCTTAATAATTTTTCTCTTCGATTTTCAGAGGGACAATGGCTCGGGATGTAATTCTTTTGTGTGGTTTGATCCCCCAACTCCAGAGCACTTGAAAATTGTGATTTTGGCACTGCTTAAGAAGAAGAGGGTGTTCGATGCATTATTGAAGAAAAATAGAATCAAATAAATTGGAGGAGATGTGTGTGTTGATTTTAATTGTAATTGTATTGAAGTTGATTGTGTTTGGTAATTCTAAAGATGCTATATAATGTAAGAAAATGAATGAAGAATTTTGGTAGATTTTGTATGCCTTTGTTACAAATTAATGAAAATCTTTGTAACTGTTAATGTTATTTTGTTTGTGGTTGTTGCTATGTGAACTAAAAATGCAGATAATACACTCTGCCTACACAGTTAAATGGTGGTTGAAATTGCTGCCTAAAAATACAGCTCAAATGCTTAAATACTGAAGTGGTAAAATGATGATAAAGAGCTGAAATGTGGTAATACTAAAGAGATGAACAACTACCCAGAAAATTTCAGTTTAAACCACATAGCACCATAGAGTAAAGGTGTTCATTACGGTCACCTAATAATAGCAGCCACACTTAACAAAAATAAGTACTTCTTGTCTTAAGCAACACTAAACATCACAATAACAACCCTAACAGTTTGGGTGCAAATTCAATTGTTCCAAAATAACTTAACAATACAACATTCAATACACTACTACATATAGTTGTTCTTGGATAGCTGAGATGATGAACTTGCTTGACTTAGATTGGGATGGGATGCAACAATTCTGGAATAGGATGCAACAGTTCTTTCAAGTTGTCTTCTATTAGTGGTTGGTCTATCATTCCATTTTACTCCAGTTGTTGGCTTGTAGGCACATTCATGAATATCTGTCGAGGCCCTATTTTCACCAGCATGAGATACCACTCTTGGTTTACCTCCACCGGACTATTAAAAAATTAAAGTATTTAGTAAAGTAGTTTAACAAAACAAGACATAAACTTTAGTTTGAAGTACTTGCAAAAAAACTCGTGAAATCATTGCTTGATTGAAACAGTCCAATTCCAGAACTTCCAGTTCCTCTTCCACTAACTTTATCGGTTCATCTTCCTCTTCCAGGGGCAAAAGTAGTTGAATCTGAAGGTGTATTACTTCTACTTCCTCTACCAATTCCTCTTCCTCTTCCAGCAACAGCAGGGCTAAAAGTAGTTGAAGCTGAAGGTGTTAAAGCATGTGTATTACTTCCTCTATCTCTACCAGTTCCTCTTCCTCTGCCAGCAGCAAGGGCAGTATTAGTTGGAGCAGTTGTTGCCATTCCTCTTCCTCCCCTGCTTCCTCTATAAGAAGTATTTACAAGAGTATAATCTACAGGTCTTGGTTTCTTGGGGCAGCTCCTTTTGTTGACGGCTTTCTAGACTTAGGATGTTTAGTTTATTCTCTTCTTCTTTTCTTCTTTGGTCGGCCATACATCTTTTTAATTGGTGGGGTTTCAATTGGTGGATTGGTAGATGTTGGTCACAGCTACATGTTTGGCACAAGCTGAATAAATATTGAATGTGCCTTCAGATAAGTGGATTTGTAGTACCGGCGGGATATGTAGTTAATATGCTCAATGTCCTTGAAGTGCGTAGCAGCAATCGCATGAGCACAAGGGTTACCCTTCAGTATCCATGACCTGCAGGTGCAACTCTGAGTTTGCATATTCACACAAAGCTTAAACACCAATCTTAATGAGGTATCCTCAACCTCATAGTCAAATTCACCATTCCATTTGATTGTACACCTCATAGACATGGTCATGTTATCCTGGCATACTTTCCTAGAAATTGGGGATATATCACATATCCATGTATCTGCAAACTCCCTCAACTTTTCCTATTCTCTCCATCATTTCCGCTCTTATTTCCTCCAACATTGTGATGGTTATCTTGTGTCTAGCAACAAGTATCCAAGCATTAAAGGTCTCACACATATTGTCGTCAATTATATCACACTTCTTGCCACATTAAAATATGCTTGACAGCATGTTTTCTGGATATACCTCATGAGGCTCTCACATATCCCATTCCCGAGCATATTCCAGCTGTCCAGGTGGAAATTCAATTCTGACACACATGATGCTCTTGCACGCCTCCAGAAGTTGTTTCTCCTCTATAATCCTCTCCAATCTTTGGACCACTTTGCTAGTATGTGTCTAGCACACCACCTATTTTCACTTTCAGGCAACACTTTTGATACAACTTTAAGCAATCCTTGTAACATAATATGAATATATTAGTTGCTAACAAAAATAGAAATAAGAAAAATTAAATATTGACAGGAATGAAAATCACCTTTTGCATATCAGACATGATAGTGAGATCCCTTCCATCTTGAAACCTTAAGTCATGAGTCACACATTTCAGAAATCATGTCCAAGTGAAACTGTTCCCACACTCTACAATGGCTCAAGCAATAGGGAACATCTGATCGTTGACATCACGATCCAGATTTTCCACAGTCGGGACCGTGCTGGCGTCCAACATCGCACTCGCTAGGCAAGCCAACGTTAGAGTTATATTCACCTTTTTCTTTATATTTTTATAGTTAAAGTTAATAAAGCTAAATCAAACTGAAATAAATGCGGAAGTATATAATAAACCGGTGATCTATATACGATTAACAATACTGAAACTGTTACCACCCAGAAACTGGTGTCATAATCCACGAACATACTACGAATTACTACAAATACCGGTCTAAAAGATATTACATTTGTTTCGAAAGAAAAGAAAATAGGGAAATAGAAACATAGGAGGGGACGCCAGGGCCTGTGAACGCCAGCAGGACTACCTTGGGTCTCCTGAATGAAGTATCTGCAACCGATCTCTCGATCAGCCACTACCAGCTCTGAAATCTGCACAGATAGTGCAGAGTGCAGTATCAATACAACCGACCCCGTGTACCGGTAAGTGTCGAGCCTAACCTCGACGAGGTAGTGACGAGGCTACGGCGGGGCATTTACAATATAACTTGCATACAATGAATAAAAAGCAAAAAGGAAGTGCGGAACGAAATGGAACAGTATCTTGCAGCAAAAATAATTACGGAACTCCATTATCTTGCCAGTACTCAGTTATAACCAAT